TTTTTTTTTATTATTTCTATGTAATTATGTTCCCTATAATTTCATAACATAAACAATTTAAAAATAACATTGAAGTATATACTAAATTTTCCCAAATATTGTATACAGATTAAATACATTATTTGTTAATTATTTAAACAATGAAATTGGTGTATAATACCGTATTTAAATATCACTTTTTTTATATTTGTATGTTTTAGAATGATTATTGAAATTATTTCTCTGATGGTAACTTTATTTAATATTTTAAAACATAATTATTCTATAAATATTTTACACATTATAAAAAACACGTTGAAAATGACTGTTTTCAGGCTGTTCTCGTTTCGTCGGAGGAGAGAGTGCAAATATACAAGACAAAGATATTTGAAGAATTTGTGTTATACATACTATTTAGGGCTTAGAAGTCAGTTTTACTCATTAACCAACGAATTTATAACGAAATGAGTTTATACAAAAGAAAATATATAAGTACGCTTTGAATTTTTTAATTTGAACAAAGCATAATTTGCAAAGACTAATTATAAACATATATATTTAATAGCAATATTAGTCTCTTAATTATTGTTGACATGTATGATAGATAATTATTTTTGAAATGATAAGTAACAATATGAATATGACTTATACATACAATGATAGAGAAATTATTCAATATTAGATGTAGGTACACAACTAGAAAGTACAGTAATTTATTAAATATTTAGAAAGAATACAAAATTTCCTTTAGTATATTAGAAATTAGCATAATTGTAACACGTTACTTACCGCATTGTATTGCAGACGATCCTGGAAGAGAAATTTATTAACGTTTAAATCTACATAATTCTAATGTTTACGAAATCAATATATGTATCTGAAATTTATGTATGTACAGGATTACTTAAACAGCTTCTTAAACTTCTATTATGATATTTATTAATAAAGTCTTATATGCATGTAACAATGATCAGCATGATTCATATACATGATGTATAATGAATATTGTTCTCGCAAATATATATTTTGAATACACCATGTTAAAATTTATTAACTTCAATGCTTATGTCCAACACCTATTAGTTTTGAATATAGCGTTCTATAATAATGACATGGTGGACGTCCCGACTCACGTAAGTAAAGCTTTTTATTATTATTTCCTCCTCTAATTCATTTGTAGCAAATATTTAATATTCAAAAGCAGCAGTACACTATATTAAAATTAGTCAGGCTTATTATCTCATACACAATTACTGTGTCATGAATCTTGCGTTCTATATTTTATTCCATCTTATAACAAAACAATTATAACATCTGCATAAAACTACAATTTGTTCGTGATTAATACCCGCCTATTATTTGATGAGTTAAGTGAGCATTCAATATAAAATAATTAAAATCCTCTCAAGCTGTTAAAGTTTTTAATAAAGTAGGACCGAATACGTTTAGTCGGTATTAAGTTTTACATAGAAAAAATTAATTATAAGTAGGCCTTCGGTAAAAGGGTTCGAAATTCTCAGCAGTTCTAGCACGAGAAAAGTAAACGAGCTACCTCCTACAAATTATACTATGTTTATTTTATTTTTAATTCTCTTAGAATAACTGTACGAATTATATTAAGAGTAACAAGAATAGGAGTAATATAAATGTAATTGTATCGAATTAATACGTAATTTTGTCGGATATGTTATGCGAAACTAGGAAATCTGCCCTAAATTAACCCTATCATTCTTAGAAATAATAATGTCGAGAATTATTTCGCTCATTCTATTTGTTCTGTATTTAGGAAGTACTCGACGATAAAGATTTAGTGCGCATGATATTATGACTAATTTTGTGTCGTCTTTTATAATAATTGCATTTTATACAAAACTGAGTGTTGTACTGTCCGACCGTATTTATATCGCATAATGGGAGACCCACACCATATAAATCTTTACAAAACGAAAAGAACGAAGCTAAAATTTTATGAAATGTTCCCATATTTTATATTATGGTAGTTATTTCTTAGTACAAATGGTCAGTAAATAATTTACATCTTGGATTACAAATCAGTATACGAAAACTTCTAATGATCTCACAAAATAATTTTATGTGAGATTAGGAAAGTAATGCTTCAGTATAAACTTTCAAATGACAAGAGAAAAGTAATTTTCAAGAAAGACAAAGCTATTTGATTTCAATGTATACTTTTGGCAAGTGACAGGAGAGAAAGTGTACTCAATACTGCAAAATTTATTACTCCTAGCGCATCATCAAAGTTGCAATTAAAAAGTAGCGAATAAAATACAATATAAACAGTGCATAATATAAGAAATTAAAATCATTACATATTAACTAGTGATATGAAGAAGGGTGGAAATAATTCATATCTGTTAACTGGACTTATAAAAAATTTGTTGATGAAAACGTATTCAATTGTAATATAAAATAGTTCTATAAAAGTGCCACTTATACTTTTCTTATACTGTTCATTTAATGTCTTCTGTAGTGTAGACATATTTATCTTGGCAGTACCTTCACTCAGCCTTAGAAATGTGATAAATATAGTTTTTATAAAATACCCTTATCGGTTGAAAACCAAGGATGTCAAGGAAGTATAAAACGTCCCACTATCAAATGGGCTTATTTCCCACCTACTCTTCTTTCTCTTGATCATCAGATTTTTCATCATTCTTTTCAGCACTTTCCTCTGGATGTTCCATGTCTTCTTCAGTTACAATATTTGTCCCGCCATCATGTTCTGCAGGTTTAGATTCATCTGACTGTGTACTTTCATTTGGCAGAGTCGTCCTGTCCTCTAGACTAAGATGATAAAAGAAGGAAGTGATTGAGTAATCCAATAAAAAAAACTGTTATTTTTAAAGCTTACAATTTTCATCTTATATCTTTACTGTTATAGCTATTACCCAATTTAACTGAATGATTACAAAATTATGCAATTGATACATATATAGTTCTTACCTTTCCCCTTGCACTGCAGCAGCATCCTTGTCTGTGGAAGGCTAACATAAACATGTAGTAGTTAGTTTGGACATAGTGTAAATTTAGTACCAAGGACAAAATACAAATAAATAAACATAACTAAAACAATTGGAAACAAAAACTTATAGACACATAAATTAAACAATACAGTTATATTTTGTATATATCAAACAACATTAATTTACTGACAAGATTTACCTCTCGACTTGTGGTATTTCCATTTTCTTGGATATTGTTCTGATTTGAATCGCGAGCTGTGCCTGCTGCACTAGCAGGAGGCGCCACTTTCAAAAATGCTTCTAATTCATCCATCTCATTTGCCAAATCGAAATCTTCATAATCCTGTTAGGTGATTCATTATAATCATTAATAGATTCAGCCAAAAACTTATAAGCTTATAGGTCACCAAATATAGAACTACATTTTGGAAACATTTCTAAATACTTTATGTAGTGATAAATTACCCCACAGTATTCCTCTTCATTAAATATTTGTGGAGGCAATGGATACTTGCTTTCCCTTGCAATACCATTGGTTTGCATGAACTCCTTTTCTAATTCCTTTCCCGGTTCTGTTATATCAATCGTTTCATACTCTACATTTTTACTATCTAATATCATTAAAACGCGTTGTTGCCTCTTTTTCACCTGCAAAATACAATAAACAAAAAATGTATAATTTACCATTACCATAATTATAATAATCCATTTAATAACAAATGTTCAATAGATAAGATTATAATTAATCATTGGTTTTATCATCAAGCTTCCATATAAAAAAATTACAATATTCCTGAACGAGCCCTAACTGACAATAAATAATATTGAAAACAGCAACAACGGTCGTCGACACCCAAACCAACCGAGTTACATTAGAACGTACATAAACATTCCTCGAAAATATTCAGTCAGCCAGGATCCGTAGCTCTACTCAGCAAAAAATATTCCTCCATATCTATTCTAAAATCGCAGTAAACGTTCCCATTAGAAGGGGCGCGCATTTTGCGTTCAATTTATCGAGAAAGGCCTCGGTCATTGTCCGAGAGACTCGCATACGTTTCCGCAATACCAAGTGCATCCATTAATACGAAAACCGTATCCCGGATCTATGTCGAGATAGGACTATACTGCGCGACAGATAACAATTCTTGGTGACAGTGTTGATCGTTAAATCGACGCGACGGTCACTTGGCTCTTGATGTAACCCGATCCAACGTAGCCGTGAAATATCGTAAGAATTCAGGTGCCCGGTAAATCTGGCATTCTCCCTCGAGTCACACACACATACCATGCACACAGTCAGGCAGGCGAGCGCGCGCGCGCGCGCTACATGCACACCACACACAGCTACAGGATTCTCTCTTTCTGGCTCTACGGTCTCGCACGAAATATCATTATGCTCGGTGCTCGCTGCGGGTGTTTTTCACTCACTTCCTTGTTGCCGCTGATACCCGATATGTAGATTTTGACGACCATCGTTAGCCGGCGCCCTCGTACCAATTGACACGCTTGCACTCCTGCTCGGTGTATGCCACGATTAGCGGTCCCGCTAATAGGAGTGATAAGCGAACAGCGTGAATCACTATAGACTATTAATTCGGTGATCGCCGCCGATGAGCAACACTGATTTAACACGCACAGGCCTCGCTGGTCTGGGATCCACTGGCTACGTCATTTCAGGCCGGTTTAACGAGTGTTCTCATGCGCGGCTGCACACCAATCCTTTCTACGTAGCGGCTGCGATCCAACTGTGATCCTGATACCTGACCTGTACACCCTCGATGAAATCTAACGGTCATGTATTGAGGTCACAGCCATGGCTATCTACCCGTGAAAATTTTTCGATTGGACTGTGAATTGCATACTCGCCGTATACTTTCTTATATTAGGCAATTTTGTGCGATTTATTTATTTACTTTGAGCAACGGCTTCGAGATTTCGTTTTTTTTAATCGTATGGAAAAACGTGGATAAGCAAGATATTAGTTTGTTGATGTCAATAATAAACAAATAAAAGAGCGCGACTTTATTTCCCCATAAGATTGTATTTGAATTCGCGCTTTCCATGGGTACGCCATTGCTTTTCAGTTTCCGGCGATTGGCGCGCGCTGTGGAGATCGGACTTTAAAGCCTCTATCCTTTTTCCGGTTCTTTTGGAACGTACCCTATATTTGTGCAAAATGGTAAGGATTGTTATTCAACGATATTTCGTGAATCTTATTGTAATATTGATCGAATCAATTGTGTTGTGTTAAAGGCAATTGTCGATAAAGTGTTGATACATATATTACGCTATTTTATGAATTATGAATAATAGTTCGGTGATGTTGAATGGTGATGTTAGGTTATGTTTGTACTTTCATGGATGTGGTTACATTGTTACTTATATTTTTTGCATGAAAGATCTGTTTAACGAGTATAAAGGAAATGTTGTAATACATTTAATTTTTATTATAAAAATTGGTCAGTATATGAAATTGTGAAGTTACAATGGAATGTAACTTAACCTATATGTGTCATGTTTATGTAAACATTTACGGTGGAACATTATGTTACCGTTATTTTATTTCATATGTGGTTCAATTTAATGAATTTAGTGTTTGGTGTTATTAGGCGAAACGCACGAAGAAGGTAGGAATCACTGGAAAGTATGGTACCCGATATGGTGCCTCACTCAGGAAGATGGTTAAGAAGATGGAAATTACTCAGCACAGCAAATATACCTGCACATTCTGTGGCAAGGTAATATATTTCATTATACAATTGAATGATAAAGTAAACATTATTTCATAAATCATTTTGTTTGATACGCTAGGATGCAATGAAGCGCAGTGTTGTTGGCATTTGGTCATGTAAACGATGCAAGAGGACAGTTGCAGGAGGTGCATGGGTTTACTCGACAACAGCAGCTGCATCTGTTAGGTCGGCTGTTAGGAGATTGCGTGAAGTTAAAGAGCAATAAGTAAATATAATAAATATCTTGTAATAACATTTCAAGTCTTTTTTATTTAGACCCTGTAATTCTTACTTATAATTTTATTCAACCATAAACTACTTCAATTTAAAAAGATCCGAGTCTGGATTTGAATAATGAAGGTAGATAAATTTTAGAAAAATCATTTCAGTAAAAGAGTAACACCATTAGTATAATTCTTTTTTAGATTTAATTAGACTTGTTGCATTTCAATGTATAATACATCAGAATCATAAATAGTTTGATTCTGTGATAGTATGTTTAGAAATTATTTTGGAGGCACATAAAAACCATAGTTGTATATTTACATTTTTTCACATTTCTAATATATGTTAAATTTGTCAGATACATGATCTTTTTACCAATCTAAAGCATGTTTTATTCTAGGACATAATTTGGTTAATAATAAGACATTTCTTTCACAAATTTCATAGAACATGGGCATGCATTATCTTCCTTAAATTAATTAATCTAACTGATGCTTAAAAAGTTAAGGCTTTAGAAAATGTATGAAAGTATTAATTTAATCATTGAGATTAGATATAGACCTGCACTTCAATGTGCATAGAGAAAAACCTAATGAAACGTACATAGACTATTTTATTGTCTTTGAAAATGTATTACTTTCAGTGGCTACCTTTCACATACAAGTAATGAAACATATGTTTCATTTTACTTAAATGGTCTTTGTATATGTATATATATATATATATATTTATATAAGTCTAAATATAAAATAATTTCTTGAATGTTTGAACATACGAAATAATCTTATTAATAATTACAACTTTCTGAAGTAAAAGTTTATATTAATAA